GGTTAGATCTGTTACTAGGTATGTGGGCTCAGGAGTCCACCCGCTCCCCCGGTATGGATTCAGCTCAGGTGCCCAGGTAGATAGCCACCAACTGTGTGGTGTAGGCTCTCACAGTCCTGACAGGCATGGGTGATTTGGTGTAGGCACAGGCATCTGGCTGCAGCAGAGGGACACATTCTGAGCAAGGCAGGGGGGATGGACGGCCACCACTGAGTGTCCAGGAGGAAGGCGTGTCCCTGTTCCCTAGAGTGTGTAGGTGGGTGGGTTTTGCAGCCGGATGCACTATGAGCACCTAATGCTGTTGGCTGTAAGGACTGGGCAGCACCTCTTATTCATGGGTCCCTATCTCAGGTGGCTAGGTCGCATGGGTAGAGCCACCAGTCCTCAGGCCCCTGCTGTAGGTAGGTGAAGACCCTGCTTCATGGGCAGAGCAGTGTCAAATGTCAAGAACCTGCCACTTCACAGCTGAAACAGTTGAAGTTAGACTTCAGGTATATACCCTGTTGTACTGTGGTAATGAAGGCCTACACTGTTGAGATGGGCCCACACAAGTCTATGCAAGGAGAAAGGCACTCAAAGTCTATGGATCCCTTATGCCTGTGCCTAGGCAAAGGAGCTGTGCCTACCCTGGGTTCCTGGCTTAGGGGAGCCGGCAGTTTATTTTTTCCTCTGTTTGTTAATTCATTCACTCTCCAAGGCAGGGAGAATGGCTCTGGGCATGTGACGGATCCTACTTCCAGCCCAGGAGACTCAGCAATTGCTGAAGCTGGTCCAGGACCCAGTGCAGAGCAGGGAGCAGGGAGGTTAATGGGAGAGAGGTTTTTCCTTAAGGGGAGTGTTTTTGACCCAGGCAATAGGCCGTACACAATTACTTATCTTTCACCGAGGAGGGCTGCTTCTGTTTCTGGGTGGCCGTGTAGACTCTCTGGCACTGGGTCTCTCCCGGTGAGGAAAATGCGCCTCCAGAGCACTGCTGCTTGCCTGCCTTACTGCTCACCCTCGAGCTGATCAGACCTGAAGGGCTCAGGCTCTCGCTGGGTCAGGTCTGGCAACTCCTTGCTGCTTCTGAACCATCTCTCCCTCCCCCGTCACTCAGTCTGGTTCCTCAACTCTGCCTTTGGTGTTCAGGGCTCCCAGATTGCCATATATAATCAATTCACTTGTTTTTTCGGGTCCTTGTTGTAAGAGGGTCCACCATAAGCATCTGACTACTCCACCATCTTGGCCCCGCCTCCTGACTTAAAACTTTTTTATTCATTAAACAACTTCATTGTTCTCGTTGATTTCATAATGATTAACTCTAAAATTCAACTTGTAAATGTATCCTAAAAATACATTTATCATAAAAGTTCTGCTACGAAAAGGATGGAAAACACTGGACTGATAGCCAAGGTTTTGAATCTGTGTGCATGTGTGCATGTATGTATGTGTGTATGTGTGTGTTTGTGTGTGTATATGTGTGCATGTGTGTGTGTGTGTCTGTGTGTATTGTGGGGAGGAAGCACTGAGAGACACACTAAGGTTTTGCTTTGTGGCAGAGTGTTCGCTTTTGAATTGCTCTAAATTCAGCAACTTAAAATATTTTAGAATTTAGCATCACATCAGCCCCCCATGGCAAACGTTTCCTAATTAACTCTGGTCAAGTGTTGCCTTCAGTATTCCTTGGTGCTCACTGACCTTGACGTTTCCCTCAACAGCCTGGGAGCTCCGTGTGGACAGGGAGCATGCCTGCCTTGTCATCCTGTATCCCTAATGCCTGGAACAGGGCTAGCCTTCCACCTTAGCTGAATGCCTAATATGAGCTATGTATGTAGATACCTCTCTCTATGCACCTCCTAATCTGCCCTTCTCTGCTTCCCCTTGAGAGGCAACTGTACATACTGGGAAAGTCTTCAGTCAGAAGTCAAGAAACTTGAGTGTTTGTTACCATTCTCCACTCATTAGTTGTATGTAGCTTCCGATAAAATTTTTCTATTCCACAATTTTCTTACTTGTTAAAAGGATCAAAATTATCTGTCCTATTGACCTCACAGGTTTGTTGAAAGGATAAGACAATGTAATGGATGGAACAGAACTCCTAAAATTTAAAATAATGGTTTCAATTTGGATGACGCTTATCCACTTTGTTTTGTTTCAGCCAAAGGAGCTAGAATCTCATTCCCAGAATAGGACACTTGGATCAGGTACCAACCCGTCTTAGGTTCACAACTTGGACACCCCTCCAACTCACCTGATCCCTCTGATCACATACCTCTTCATCTGTCCCACATGCACATTCTGTTCCAGCCAGGCAAAGCACCCACACCCGCGTCTTCCTTCTCTTCCAATCAGATCTTCACACCCTCAGCTCCCCTTCAACATGTTTACTCCCCTTTGGAAGCCTTGCCAAGCCAACCAAGACCTAACCACCACATTCCTCCCTTGGCCTCCACTTGACCCTGGCCCGGGGTATACTTTTTGCTGCATTTCTCCATTTCTGAGTTTTCTCTGCCTGATCCTTGACAGTCTGCTCACCACAGACTCACATTCTTGTTGAACTTTTCTGGGTGTGTGGCCTCCCCATTGAACTTGGACCTTAGAGAGTGCAACCATGTCAGATGTTGGTAAGCTTGACGGCCAAGATGAGGATGTAGGCCCTTGGTGGAGGACAGAAGCAGCCTTTTCTCCTAGCTGGCTCTCCTATCAGGCTCCTTTCTCAGAATGCGCTTTCCCTCCAGCCCCCAAACACAAAGGTTTCCACCCCCTCCTTCACTGCTGCCATCACAGAACTGCTGAAGGACAGGAGGTAGACAGGGCACTGCGTAGACAAGCCCTTTTTTGTGGCCCGGAGGTGGGGGAAGAGTAGTGTGTGTGCTGTCTCCACACTCCCTCCAGCCCTTCTATGCCCGCACTTGAACTCTGACTTCCATGACTTCCCTCAGCCTGACATTATCTGCCCCTCTGACCCAGGTCTTTATGTGCCTCATAAAGAACAAATAGATTTGGGAAGCCAACACAACCTTTTAATTCCAAGCAGAGTGTCCCTCCCCCAGCATTATCACACACACACAGTGGAAAGGGATGCCAGGGTCTAGGCAGGAACAAAACCTAGACCTGGGCAAAAGTATATATATATATAATTATATACACATATGTATTTGTAGAGAAGAAAATCTGAGACTGTGATTAAGGTAGGGCAGAGAGTTAGGTGAGGAAAGCAGCTGGGGGTGCCCCAATAAATTACATTCTTTAGAGAGCATGGTGTGGGATGCATGGTTATGGGTGGGGCTTGGTAGCCACGACACTCAGAAGGGCCCTTGTAGCCTGCCCTCTTGGTCTCTCCAAGGGAGCCTAGAAGGCCCGGGTTCGGTCCAGTACCTGTTGGTGCTAGAAGATAGAATTCTAGCTGACTTTGCCTGGAGGCTGATGGTGGGCTAGGGTTTTGTATAGGCAACATCTCCACTCTAAGCCAAGGCTTCTGGGGAAGCCGCGGAGCTGAACAAGAGGCTTCAAAGCTTGAGGGATGCGAGCTGAGAACAGGGAGAGCTAGAGGGAAGGCTGGCCTCCCTGCTGGAGGTCAGAACTCTAGCTGGCTCCTTCCAGAGCCAGAGAAGCAGGAGTCCTAGGAACAGGGGAAGCTGTCAAGGTGAGGCGCGGTAGAGTCCTTGGGCACACATAGGGTCCTGGAGTTCTCCTGCCTGGCTGCTTCCTGCCTCCCACCAGCTCCCACCAGGGCAATTCCCACTCATGGTTCACAAAAACTGATGGTGTGCCTGACTACTAAGCCCCCACTTTGATTTCTCCTCGCCCTCTTCTGGGGACTTTGTGTGGGGTGGGAGGCAGGGAGAGGGCACAAACATTAACTCTCTGTGTGCTGGAATCCAGGCTGGGCTGCCCTGTGCAGTGAGGACCAGGGATGACAGAGGAGATCCCCCTAGCTCATTATAGGGAAGAAAGTCCATGCCTCACAACCCCAGGACTGTGGAGGCCTTGGCTTCCCTGTCTACCGGGGGAATAGAGCCAATCCCACTCTTGTCCCACCTCCCCATTCCCCAAGAGATGACTGCTCCCAGCCCACCAGGGGAAGAGGATGCTTTGCAATCTCATGACTGCAGCTCCAGAGCCCTGAAGCAGCAGAGGGAGGGGTTGGTCATGGAGAAGGAGGGGGCAATCAGAAGAGAGAAGCTTTTTTCTTGAGTTCATTCCGCTTCCACAGAGCCAGCTTGCCAAACTCTTCGGGAGACATGGAGAATACCCTTGAGAAGTCCTCAGCTGATAGATGTCTCTGTCAGGGATACATAGAGGCAGCTTAGGGAACAGAGGCATGGCAGGGGGTGGGGGGCTATGCTGAGTAACTTAGGGGGCATTCACACAAAAGGCTCCCCATCTTCTCCCACCAGGCAGGGGACAATGCCCCATTGACAGCCTCTCAACAGCCACACAGTGCCTTCTCCTTACATACCTCAAGCCGCATCCGGTCCACACCCGGCGGCAACTTGGTTCTCCCCTTGCTGGTCACCACCAGCATTTCATAGGGATAGATCTAGGGGTTAGGGGAGGGAGGCAATGTTAGGCTCATAGAGTTCTCTTGTCAACATAAACCCCTCAACTCCCCCTTCTCAGCCTGCAGGGAACAACTGGGGCTCATGCCATTTTGCCATCCATCTGTCCCAGCTTCCCTGCTGTCCCTCCCATCATCAACTCCAGGAAGCCCCTCAGCATATTCTATCTCTCTGGCTTCTTCCCCAGCCCCCACCCATGAGAGAGATGATTCTAGCCCTTATTCTCCCGCCAGCTTGTTCCCTCCCCACCTCCCCTGGCTCTACCCTCTGACCCTCACCTTCTGCTCCAGCACACAGGGCAGGGAGTTCCCCCGGTCCATCCTCCCCCTCTGGCCCTCTCCGTTCTGGGGAGACCAAAGCCGCAGTGAGCCAGAGTGGGGCAGGGAGACCTTCCCAGCCTTACCCTGGGCAGCTCATGTCTTCATTAGGCAACTCCGTGGCCCCACACCCTATCCCCCCACACTTCCAGTCTCCTGTCCCTTGCTTCTGGTGTACCACGTGTTCCCCTCCAGAAGGCACTCACCTGCAGGCCTGCGGAAGAGAAGAGTTAATGTTTAGAGGCAACTCCAAAGTCAGCTGGCCTCCAAACCTTCTCCTAGCTCAGCCTCCCAGCCCTCTAGCCACATAACACTGCCCACATCACAGACACAAAAAGCAACGAGCCTGCTTAAACCTCTTTCCAGCTCCCCTCGCATCAGCTCGGTCTGCTTCTCACCTGGGCTTCCAGTCTCACTCCCCGATGGGCTGAAGTCTGTGGACTGTAGCTAGAAATGACACGGAGGGATCAGAAGGAAGCTGGGAAGGCCCCTCATCCTCCTTCTTGACTTTGAGGGTCTCCCTCTCCCCCAGGATGCCCTAGTGGCCCAGTCCCTCAGAGGCACCTACGTGCACACTCCCCTACAGTCTGTATCTCTGGTTCAGGGACCTTACCCGGCTCAGGGTGGTTCTGCCATAGGTGGGGAGAGAAGATGACTTGGACGTTCCAGGGTACAAGGCTGGAAGAGAGCAAGAGGCCCGGGTTCAGTCCCTTTGGGGACTAACAATCATTCCTGAGAGGCAAGGGCAGTGAAGGGTACAGCTGGGGGAACCTGGTGGTTTCCAGCTCCTACCCATTACCTTCAGCAAGTGACATAGTGCTGGCCCTTCTGAACTGTCTGTAACGTCTTCCCTCTTCTCACTAACTAGAAGTGCAGCAAATGCACATTTTGGACCAAATGCTTGGTGTTAAAGTTTCTATTCAGCCAAAGCGGAGGCTGAAGCCAAATATCACCATCATAGAATGAACTTCTGGGATACATAAATAAGTGTAAAATTTAATCAAAATGATTTAAGTATTATAACTTATTACTGACAATGTTAGTAGTCAAATTTTAAACATTTGGCATTATAATGTAAACAATAATTTTCTCAGTACTGCCAGCCGCTAGATTGCACTGCAGTCAATATACTGCACATTTACATTGTTAGATGTCACTTTCAACTTACACATTTAATAATATCACTAAACTTTTAAACACTGCAGATTATAATTCATGATGTTTTTTTTTCAGTAACATGTTTTCCTAGACAGAACTTTGTACCTAACATTCTTAGCTTGGGCAGGTCTCAAAAATTCCTTCATCTTCCAATTACTAGAAATTGTTAGCATTCTATAGCAATTGTTTTGACAAGCATTCTTATTTAAATGTGTAGCTTCCATGGATTCAAAACTATAATGAACTGTCTTCTTAAAGCAGTCTTATAAAATTTGTAGTTTGGTGATAACAAAATGTGTTTTGAGGACCTCATCTTTTCTTTCCTAACACTTCTGGTTTTTGTATAGAAAACTATCAGTTTTCATGCTCATCATTCATCACTGAAGCATTTCACTCTTGTGATAATGAATATACATTTATACTTCAACTGATGGATAGAATTTCAACCTATAAAGCATACAGGATTTTCACTTCAAGTTACTTCTAGAATGCTTAGTTATGTTGAAGGTGACTATTCCAATAATACCCTTAAACCAGAATGACATAATTCTGAAATTGTTAAGGTTGATTACATATGATAACATGCAATCACATGATAATTGATCACGCATAAGTTCGGGGATGTCAAAAGTGATGCTGAGGAAGGCATATGGCTATTCAACTTTACAAGCCAAAAGAAGTTAAAGAGCTACTTTTGGCGGAACACTGAAACTGAATCCAAACTTTGGGGCATCCCTATAACTACTTCATTCTTCAGTCCTTACCTATTTATTCTACGTTCTCTTAAAACGCCTTTTGTAGCTATTCCCACCCACAATAAAATATAATTCTGGGAGCTTTCAGTGGCCACGTGCATATCTTAGCCTTAGCTACGTATTAACCTTCAGTTCCCTGAATTCTCCAATTCCAGTAGCCTTCGTCTCCACTCCAAATCAGATAACCCTTTCAAATAGTTGGATCTTGTTGTCATCGACAACTGCTTTATCCCTGAAATACTAAGCCCAGATATCTCAACTCGAGGCCTTTGTTTTGCTCAGCCTCATTCCCATTACACCTGCTTATCAGTCTCATGCAGACCTCCAGTTTCTAGATCCCCCCCCACCCCCCACCACCACCCTGGCCTTCCTTCCTCACTTACTCAGCCTCCACCCTGTGGATGGCTACATTAACCACTTTCACCAATACCTCAGCAGCTCAGTCCCTTAGCACCTTTCTTACAAAATGCTAACCCTGGATCAACCCAACATCTCCCTTTCTGCCCTTGCTGCTCAGTGGGGTTGGAAATAAAACCACAGCCATCTAGACTAGCATCACTACAAATGGTAAGTCCTGAATCTCAGCTGGACCCTGTTGCCTTGCACCATAGTCATTTCCCTCTCCCATCATAGTTATTCTAAATCTTCACCAATCTCACCAAGTTTCACTCTTCTTACCCTCAGAAGACACCCTAACTTCTAAGCTGGCCTTCTCCAAGATCTGTTCCCCTCTTTCAGTAAATGAGGGTTCTTCCTTCTTTCAAGGCCAGCCCCCTACTCCTGAAGCTCTGTCTCCTTTCCGAGCTCCTCCTAATTGGATCTTTAAGGTGGGTCCTCTCCAGGGAACAGCTCTAGGCACCCTTCCCTTCTTTTTCCTTCCCTTGTCTCCTGCACAATGTTGTTTATTTTGCTCATGGTTTTACTACTACCTATAAGCTGAAGACCCTATTTGAACCCCTATTCTTTCCTCGAGCTTCTGACTCAGCCAAATTCAGCACCTACTTACGTGTCCTATATAGAGCACTTCAAATTCAATACCTCCAAAACTAGTCTCTTCATCTTTCCCTGAAAACCTGCCTCTTTGATTATGTCAGTTCCAGGTGTGTCATCACCCAGTCACCCAAGACAGAAACCCCACTCCTCTCTCCCTCACCTCCCACATCCAATTAGTCACTAAGTCCTGCTGATTCTTTCTGCTATATATTTCTCAAGCCCATTCCCTCTTCTCTGGACCTATGTATATCTCTATCCCTTATCCAGACTACTAGGAAGTATGGCAGATGGTTTCTAAAACTGGCCTACGACAATATCTCCATCTGGCATGCTTTTTGCAATAAAACTTTGCGGTTCCTCTCATCATGAAGTGGAGTCCATTTCACCTCCCCTTGAATCTAGATTGGACCGATGACTTGCTTTGACCAAGAGAATGTAGTAGAAGTGACACCGTGTGGCTTCTGAGGCTGGGCTTTAAGAGGTCTTGTAGCTTCCATGTTTGAGTTCTTGATCACTCCCTCCTGGGGCCCAGCCAACATGCTCTAAGGGAGTTCAGACTGGAACACTATTATGGATTGAATTGTGTCCCCCAAAAATATGTGTTGTAAATCTTAACCTCTATGCCTGTGGTTATAATCCCATTTGGGAATGGAGTGGCTTTGTTATGTTATTAGGGTAGGATTAGTAAAGGGTATGTTTTGAGTCAATCTCTTTTGAGATATAAAAGAGATTAAACAAGCATACAAGCAAGCAAACAAGCACACAGAGATGGGGTAAGATAGACGCTAAGACACATGGAGATCTCCAAGTAACCAGGAAGCAGAGGCTGAAGAGACAAGGAAGGACCTTCCTCCAGAGCTACAGAGAGATAAAGCCTTCCCCTCTAGCTGACACTCTGAATTCAGACTTCTAACCTCCTAAACTGTGAGAAAATAAATTTCTGTTTGTTAGAGCCACCCACTTGTGGTATTTCTGTTACAGCAGCACTAGATAACTAAGAAAAACACTGAGTTTTCAGGGGCCCAGAATTCAAAGCCCTGGCCCTCCCCATCTCTCTGGCCTCACTTCCCACCACTCTGTGCTCTCTAGTTCCAGATGACTGGTGATTCTCTAAGCTGGCCAGTTTGTTCATGTTCTCTGCCTTTGCTCCCTGTGTTGCTCAGTGTCTGTGATACCCTTCTCCCCGACTCGTTTACCTGGCTCGCTTTGTCTCATTCTTCAAGACTCAGTTTAGCCTCCCCGGTCCCTCTAAACCCAGGCCTTGTCATTGTATTCTCAAAACACCCACTGTAACCCCTACCATAACATATGCTACGTTGTACTAAACCCCAGTTTCCATATCAGGTTTCCTCACTGACTGTAAGCTACTTGAAAACAAGGACTGTGGTATTTTTACTGTTTATGTCCCTAGCGCTTAGTACAGTGCCTAGTAGCATTTATGGATTCTAATCCATAAACATTTGTTTACCTAAATTTGCTAATTCTGCTTTATCTGATACCGTCTTTAATCATTTAATGTTCTTATATGACTTAGTTATGGCTTCCCTAAGGAGAGCATGAGTGCTTTGAGCCAGAGACCACATCTTACACACATCTCTTATACCCGTAGTTAACACAGTGCTGAACATATGACAGGCAAACTCTACAGCTCTATAGAGTCTGGCTAGGTGATCTGAGCCACCTCCAAGGCACTCACAGGTATGGAAGGGTGTTCGGTCGGGCAGGGAGCGAGCTTTCCTCCGGATAGGCAATGACTTCTCCATCTCTTCTTTCAAGATTATCTTTCCCAAGTTGGAAGTAACCTGGGGAGGGGGAAAGGAAGATGGATCCAAGACTTAAATACTCATTTCTCATCTCTAAGATGTTCAGAGTTGGGAATACTGCAAACAGGACCCAGGCCCTTGCAAGCCCTTTTACTAGGGACAGATCATGGCTGGTCCATGTCCTGAGCCCGTGGAGCCTCTCATTCTTGTCTGATGCACAACCACATTGGGTTTGGACACCCTTGGGGCAAGAAGTCAGAGCTGCTCAGTGTAACTGCCCCAGTGGCCTCCCCATCCCAGGCTACAATGGCCAGAGCACAGCCGATGTCACCATAAATGGCCTTTCCATGACTCTCAGCACCCTCTCTCCTCAAGCCCTGAAGATCAGTAAGCCACAGTCCTTTTCCCTCTTCCCTTTTCTTCTTCCTCTACTCAGCATGCTAAAACCTGGCACTGGCAGGACCACCCTTTTCTATGCTTTTGATCCAAATTATCAAGTAGCTTTCCCCCCAAAAGCAGCATAATGTCCAGGTGTCCCTTGAAAAGCAGCACCCTGAAATCCTGGGAAAGAAGGAGGACTTCTCATGTGTTCTAACATGGATACTCTTCTGGTATAAATTCATTTGGATTAGCTATGAAACCAGAACTTCGGTCACCACGAAGACATAGGTTGGGTGGCAGGTAGCAAGATGCTACCTTACTGAGTTCCTCTTTCTGACGCTCCCTGAAAGCCTTCCTCTCCTCTTCAGAGTCATCATCTTTCTCCTCCTCCTCTTCCTTTTTCTGAGATGCCTTCCGCTTCCTCCATTCTGTCTCTGGGAAACATGTAAAAGTAGGCAACAGTCAGTAGCTCAACAAATACTTATTAAGTGCTGGCTTTGTACACAGGACTGGGCTGGACTTAAAAAGGACACTATAGGTTATTTATTTTTTTTTAAAAAGGTAGTATTTCCTAGCCTTGCAGTGAAACTGGGTAGGTAATACACACACATGACTTAAATTCATTGGGGAACAAGATCTTGTCTCACTTATCTTTCTCCTTCCCAGAGCGTCCATCACAGAGCCTGGTACATAGTACAAGTTTGATAAAAATGTCTTTTGAGAGATCAAATAAGCGAATGGAGAGTGAATGAATGACTAACAAATAGCGCCGCTTACACAAAGGCCTACAGGAATGCAGGGAGGGAGAGCTCTCTGTGAGCTGCCTGAGCAAGGAGCCTGGAGGGTTTCATGAAGGCAGTAAAGGCATAAGAGAGTGGGGGTGGCTTCATGGGGGCTTTAAGAGGGAGGGCAGTGAGGGGGAGTCCCGTGGCCTCCCTTTTTCCCCACCTCCCCACAATTTCTCTTACCCACAACAGCCAGCGATGGGGGGCATGGCCAGTAATCGGTTTCGATCTTGGCTGGCTGGTTGGGGTCAGGGCGCTGGGCCGCAGGGAACTTGGATGACTCGATAATTAAGTCCTCTGAAGTCTTGCTCTGAGGGCTGCCTCCCACAGACTCTGCAAGTGGAGGACAGAGTTAGCACACATATACCTTGCTCTGAGGCCAACTCTTCTTCCATCCTCAGCCCCCAACTCCCTCACTTCTCCCTCCACACCTGTGAGAAAATGGATGTAAAAGCAATGCACAAGGAAGAACACAAGGCAACTATTGCGTATTGTTATCAACAGTTATTCTCCCATCACCGTCCCTAGCCGTGCAGCACCCAGGGCCACGAGCCTCCTAGCATTTGGCAGGAAGGGGGCTCTGGTAAGTTAGGGAATCCCTCACCTCTCTGCTTGTAAATTGGTGGCTTCTTGTAGATGTTGGAATCTGGGCGGGAGGTCTCTGTGGAGAGGGAGCAAGAGGGGATGAGAGGGAGGATATGTTGGTGGCAGAGGGGGTTGGGTGGGTGAAGGAAATGGAGGCAAATAGAATGGGAGAAGGTAGGAAATTTGCTGGCTTCTGCCAAGAGCCAAGACAGAACCAGAGTTCCTGGAACTGTCCCTCAGGGGGTTGGGACTTTCTGCACTTTTCTGGTTGGTGGGAGGGAAGAAGCAACAGGGGTCCTGGAATCATGGGGCCCAGCCAGTTCTCTGGTGAGCACATACCCCAGAGAGTGGGGTACAGAGAGTAAGGGGCTTAGGGCTCCTGAAGGAAAAAAGAGGTCTGAGGGAAAGTATGCACCCAGGCAGACAGTAAAACCTACCAGGGTGATGGAAATGGGGCAGGCTGGTCCGGGGGGTACCAGTGGTTCTCTGGACTGAAGCCTGAGAGATGATTCCAGGGGATCGGCTGTCCACCCACACCTGTAGAGCGGAAGTGTGGTTCATTACAGCTTCCATATCCCACACCCTACCCCCTCCTGAAACCACATATGCACCGCTTCACCTCACTCTACCAATCTCTGTCCTCCCACTCTAGCAGCCTGCATCTCCCCAACCCCAGGGCACAGGACAGGAATCCAAAAACTTAACCCACTAATGGTGCCGGGCCCAGGAAGAAAGGACTAAATAAGGCTCTAGGTCAGACAGATTACAGAGCTGGCCAGTGGACAGGATGAGGTCGGACCAACACGTTGGCCCAGAAAAGTCCTCAGTCCTCTGATTCTGTCATATCCCCTAGGCTATACAGAGCTCTCTGGACTTGTGGGGGTTGGAATAGGGGTCCCATGAGAGCAGGGCTGGGCAAGTTTCAGGCATGGGGCAGACTCACCTCTGGGGATGGTGGGGGAGATATAGATTTGGGTGACAGAGAGCGCTGTGAAAGGAAAAGAGGCTGGTCAGACCACAAGGGTAGGATTAAACTCTCATCCCTAGAACCCTAGAGTAGCCACTTCATCCCTCACCCAGTTCCACACCCTTTCCTGGCCAACTTCTGGGCCATTTCTTCTCTCGCAGATCCTTGCTAAGTTTCCATTCTTCTTCTTCCTAGTATTCTCCTGGAGAAAGTTCTAAGTCTTTCTTCTCTATAAAGCATGAAGAAGCACACGGATCTTGGAGCAGTATGCTTGGTGCTCTAAGAGCCTATTGAAGAGTAGCTATTGTCCTGTCCTCAGAGCCTAAGAACTAACGGAAGTGACAATACCAACAAACATCCAAGGATGGAGTACAAGCTCCTTGGCCAGTTATTTAAGTCTCCCCACTGTCTGGCCCCATCTTACTGCCCCAGCCAGGACACTAACCCCTCTCTTGAATACATTTTACTAAGGACCTGCAAGCGCTCATGCACCCTGACTACTCTGTGAGGTGGGAGGGCAGAGGTATCACCTTTATTTTACAGGAGGAGGAACTGAGACCATAAGGTCACACAGGTTACTCAGCTAGGACTTCCAGCCTACAAGTTCAATTTTCCCAGACTCTTTCCATAAATTTTGCTCTCTGCCGATTCCCGCCCTTTCCCTGTATGCCACCCCCTTTATGCTTCTGCCATTCAAACACAGCCTTCTCTGCTCTCTTCTTTCAAAGCTTCAGTCCAACCTTGAGCGCATCTCTGCCTGCGCTCCACAAACACTTGGTTGGTTGACTGACTAGCTGGTTGATTCCTGTGCACAGTTTTCTTTCTTGTTTGGCTGAGTCTGGCCTCCAGGAAATAAAGCATGAGAGGGATTCTGTCCACTACCCAGTGTGATTGGTGGAATCCTTCCCCCAAGTGCTGTCCAAGGGGAACCACCCACCCCCACCTTACCTCCCGGCTTCTAGGAAGTTCCACGTGCTCCATGAGGGAATAGGTAAAGTGAGGCTCATAGATCATGAGGTCAGGCCGCTCGATATCCAGGATGGCCTTGTCCTTGGGTATGGCAGCCAGGTCCTTGTAGCCCAGCACCTGATTGTCCATCTTGGCCTGAAGGAAAATGGTGCTAATGGAACAGATGTGCCAAAAGCCTCAAGTAGAATCCTCGCCTGACAAGCTAGACTCATAATTTATTAAGAAGAAAATGGGCAGCCATTTTAGATGTCAACCCTTGTAAGTTAATAATTCTGTTATTTTAATTTTAAGGATTTAGATTGTCACCGTGAAAAATGATAGTCTTTCACCTAGCAATTTGGGTAACAGAAAGACCATACCAGTTAGATTTTTGGGTTCTCTCTCCTTTCCAGCACTGGTAGGATCATCAGCTATAGGCTCAGAGTGAAGCTCCCTGTGCGTAGTTGTCCCCTGCCCCTCCCTCCTCCCAGATTGAGGATGCTGGTGTCAGAGTTGGGTACTCACCACGATGCTGGAGGGAGAGCCGGGAACACTGGAGCCTCGGGAGGAGCTCACGCTCCCTGGGGAGGTAAGTGGTTGCTGGGGAGAGTGAGAAGGTGGGCGAGTGGGTATGTGCGTGGGTGTGAAGGGTGCGACGGGGGCAGGGGCTCTTCAGGAGCCTCAGGACGTGGGCTGGAGTTGTGGACAGGGAGGTCTTCCCTCGGCCTCTGGGGATCCGAGGTGCTGCACTGTGGGCAACCACCAGGTGGCACCCTCGACTCCCAGTCTGACACTTCCGCAGGGATGCAAGCCCCCTCGCCCCCTGCCCCAGGCACCCCACCTGTCCGGGGAGTGGGTGCAACCCCCGCTTACCTTCTGCTGCCGTTCCATGCAGCAGGGAGCTCGCTGGTCAGATCACTCACAAAGCCCTGTGCGGGAGGGAGAGGACAAGGGCTCAGGCTCTGCTTCGCTCCTGGGCGCTTCGAGTTCTGGGCCGGGAAAGCAGAAAGGGCGTACCACCAAGCTGTAGCGTCCTCATCCCTCGGTGATTCTTCAGGCTGCAGACCAAGCGGTGGGTCTAGAAGGAGAAGGGGAGGGGAGAAAATAGCAGAGAGGGCTGTTAGGCTCTGGGTCTCAGAGGGCGGCGGCGGGGGGCAGCCCTCCTTGCTCCCCGGAGACCGACGGAAGGGAGCTCCGGCCTTCCTTGGCTCAGGCTTTCCATTCGCTCAGCCCGGAGAAAGGGTGTTTGTGGACAGGGAGGCGGGAATGTGGAGGGACTGCACTTGTTTTTGAGCCATTGTTCTCTGGCTCGAAAGGAAATGACGGCAGGGGACAGAGGCTTCCCGAGCAGCCTCCACATGCCCTGCTTTGTCACACCTGCCCTGCCACAGGGGCTGGAGCCCTGTTTCAGGCCCAAGGTCTCACTCTCCCTCTGCCTCTACCAAGGCCTCTCTCTCTGGCTCTGTGCTGGTCCCCTCTCCCCCTCAACCGCTGGTCCACTTCCCCTCAATCTACTGTCCATTGACCACCTCTCCCTGATACTCGTCCAAGAAGGTTTAACACAGAGAGACTGAGTAATATCTAGGAGGTTGTCACTGGGTGAGAAGGCTGGAGGGTCAGCCAAAAGAAGCAGCCACCTTGGTGTAAGGCGGTCAGGTCTTGGGTTAAGGGCTGCTGACTGCCGCCTCTGCCCCCCAGGTTCAACCCGCGGTTAAAAAGGGAGAGGAGGGCCAGGAGGGAGCCCACATCTCCCTCATCCCTATTCCCTGTACAGCAGTTCAGTCTCACAAGGAGGCATTTGAGAAAACATCCTCTGAGGCCTTGGCCACATCCCAGCTCCTCACAAAGACTTCTCAGAATGCCCATGCTGAGACGACCCTCTCTGACGTGCTACTACACTACAAGTCAGTGCCACTGGGTCCAGCAAGAAGTCATCCTGCCTAGCCTTGCTCTCTTTTTTCCCTAGGAGTGGGGTCCTTTCTGCTGCATTAGATTATGAGTCCCCTGGGGCACAGCCCTTGTTGTCTCCGTCCTCAGTAACTCTCTTAGCGATCCCTCCATCCTCCTTGTGCCCCCCACCCCCCCCAGTTCACACTGGACACATAATAAACTGAGCTCCTGGCTGACTGTTGAGTGGGATGGTGGTGGAGGGCAACAAGCTATAGAGAGAAGAAAGCTGACTGACAGCTACAGAAGGGACAGGGAGGATGCGGCATAACATAGTGGTTAAGAGCATGACTGTGGGACCAGAGTGCCTGAACGTGAGTACTGACTCTGCTACACATAAACTGTGTCGCCTTGAGCAAGTTGCTTATCTTTCCTTGTGCTTCACATTTCTCATCTGTAAAATGGGGAGTGGGGGGGTGGTAATACTAGTACCTGTATCATTAAGTTACTCTGAGTATTATATGTTATTATAGGAAAGTACTTAAACCATTTAAAATTTTCTATAAAGTGTTAGCTATTATTATTTCTATCTTCCCAAGGAGCAATGAGCTAAGAGGGCTTTTCTGTAGCCATTCCTTACTACAGAGGGTCATAAAAGACCAAGGTCATTGGTGTTCCTAATCTTATCACCTACTACTTTGTATCAGGCCATTCTTCTGCTCACTGTCTCTCCACCACTGCCTACTGACACCACCCACTCCCTGCACAGGCAGCCCTCACTCCCACTTCCCTGCTTTTGCACATGCTGTTCACTATTCTCTGTCCACCTCTCTGCCTCCCTGACCCCACCCATCCTTTAAGGTCCATCTTAAACTGCTCCTTCCTCTGGGAGGTCTCCCCTGCTATTCTAGTTGCAGTAGGATGGGTCGCTTTCATATGGCCTTTCTCTCCATGGTCTTGTAACTCCCACCAAATGACTGGGTTGTTGTTGTTAGACGCCATTGAGTAGGTTCAGACTCATAGTGACTCTGTGCACAACAGAACGAAACACTGCTTGGTCCTGCACCATCCTCACAATCGTTGTTATGCTTGAGCCCATTGTTGCAGCCACTCTGTCAACCCATCTTGTTGAGGATCTTCCTCTCTTTCACTGACCCTCTACTTTACCAAGCATGATGTCCTTCT